TTTTCAAATGATTTGAAGGCTATTAATATCAAAATTAATTTTTAAAAGCAAGTGAGAAGGAGCTTGATTCATATACTCAAGACTAGAGAAAGTCAACTAGATCTTATAGATCTACTAGGTCTTCTTGGCTAAGTGACTAACTGTTAACAACCAAAGATATGATAGTAGTCTCCCAGGATTTGATCTAGGCTTTGATGATTAGTCGATTAGAAGTTTAACTAGTTTACAATCCAATGCAAATCTAAAGTCCAATTTGAATTTCCAGTGGTGGTAATCAACTAGGGTGTTTTATAGTCGGCTAGGCTGTTCCTACATAGATAAAACTACTCTTTTCTCTTGGGGGGGAATGGCTAGTTTTGCATTTATTACGCCTTCAACCACTTGAAATCCTTCTATGACTTGATTTCCAAGCTAGATGAGCTCATACCGATGAGCTTCAACTAACTAAATGAAGAATATTCAAAACCAGAGAGCAACCAAAAGCTTGAGCCTTAAATTCTCATATTCTTGTGTATTTTACATGTTTGTGTGTAAGAGAACTTTGATTTCTTCTTCTACATTCACATATTTTTTTGATTTAGATAGAAGTGGTTGAATTGAGAATGTCTCCTCTACCTCTATTGATTAAACTTTAGGTAATTTGATTGGAAGTATTTCCCCTTATTGTTGTAATTCCTCCTAGGAGTGTTCATGATGTAGTACGATTTGATTTGGTATTCAAATTTAAATTGAATCATATTTTACAGTTTGTGATTTTTTAAAATCAAACCAAACCAAAACTACGGTTTGTTGTTTAGTCTGGTTTCAAATCATGATTTTTGATTTGTAAAATTAAATTAATTAAATTTACTATTTTTATAAAAATTTTGATAAATTTTCCTAAAAATCAGATATTCAATTTTTTAGAGTAAGTGATTCTTAAGTTCAAGTTATTTATTATTAATTTTCAATAATTTCATATATTACATATTTTTATTCTTATAAATCAATGTGAAACAATTTATCATAGTTTGACAATCTCTTCAGCCTATGTTCTCGACCTCCACTCAATATTGGAGAGACTCGATCAACTAGCAACCACTATTTTTAATTAGGTGATAGTCACCCTTACAAAACACTCACACCTACATTGAGTCATGTCCACGCTTGGAGGAATTAGGGGATGTTTAACAAACCAAACTAAATTGTTTAAATCGATGAAACTGTAATTTGGCTTAGTTTAGTTTAGTTTGGAGAGGGATTTTTTTATATATTTTGATTTAATATTTGATATTTAGACAAAACGTATAAAACAAATCATATGAGTGCTTGTAGCTTAATAGATATTTTACAATACCTCTTTGCCTTTGCCTCCCTTCTCAATTTGAATGTGCCTTTACATTTGTTTGCTTTTCAATTACCTCATCAAAGGTGCCTCATTACTGACTTGGATTGATGGGTTGAGAAATTTGTAGAAGTAAAAAAGCTAATAAATTCAAAACAATAAAACTGTTAGTTGTAAATTTCAAGTAACAATATGTAACTCCAAAATGTGACAACAAAACACAACTTACCATTAAGAAGAATGTACAATAACCGAGTGATTTCTTCAATCCCCCACTCGCCTTAAACTCTTGGATCTCTGCCACCAACATATCCAAAACTAGTTGACCCCAGTTATACTGTGATGAATTGTTGACGTCTACTACAGCATCTAGAAGTCTAGTACTATGGGCATTCTTGGAGGTTTAGCAGAAGAGCACGGTCAGAGCGTACAAGATGAATGATCTTTTGAACATTATATCCACACTGCCTAACCTAATATTTGCCTCCAAAGTGGAAAACAAATAACTATTTTTTGTCTTACTGTACATGTACTTTATGATATTTTCTATGTTTTCTATGTTTGATTACGAAAATGGGCAGCCATCTAAGACAAACAACAATTCTACAAAATTCATAAATTCAAATATGATATATGACCTAGTGGGGTCCTAAACACCAGAGGTTATATTAGTTTGACCTTGGCATGACAATGATCCATGGTGCTAGCTACATAACATAGTAGCGCTTAGCATGTTTTAATATAGTTTGCCTTAAGGAAAGGCATACTATGTCCTATGTTTTTTGTATTTTAATATATACTACCCCCAAGATATTAACCTATTGTGCACACCAGAGCAGAACTATATAGATGTATGGTTATTCAAGATATTTCATATTTGAACAATTATTTTAAATATTGAACTTTATCCATATTCAAATAGAGTAACACCAACTATAAATCTTATAAGATTTTATATTAGATTCGAATATAATACACTATTATTGGATTCAAATCTAAATATGTTATAATCTAGTCTGAATCTATCCCATTGATTGCCCTAACTATTAAATATGTTGGATTTAAGTATTTTGGGTTATTAGTTTAGATTTAACAAGCTATTAAGGCTAGTGGTTCTTAGATTGTTAAAAATGGTGTCAAAGCAATGACCTTATTGCAAACTGTGCAGGGAAAGATCTCGGTTGATCTATTTAAATTTGTGACTTAACAAAAATATCAAATGTTTAAATAGGGGAGATCATGATATTGCGTTCCATATTAATTTATGGGTGTGAGATCATGTGTAAAACCCTTAATAGTTATTATTAAGCAATGTGAGCTCAAGTATTTTATACTAAATAAATTGTTAGGGACCAATACTTCTTGAGTCATTATTAAAAGAAAAACCAAAAACATCTTTACGCGATATTAAATTCATATCTTTACATGTCTCTTTTTACTATACAAATCATGGTTGTCTTATCTTAGTTTGGGAAACGTATTATAAGATGAGACTTCTAAATTGTTAAGCCAATTTTTTTCTTTACCAATGTATTAAGATTTTTTTCCCTTGAATGTGCTTAAAAAATTAGATGCCGTTTACCTTTTAGGTCTATCAAATTTTGATTAGTAATGAATCTACTAGAAGTAGGTTTACTGAAGGATCAAGTATAAATAGGTATTGTGCAAGTCTTTGATCAAATCATTATCATACGGAGAAAAAATGAAAAGAAAAGGAGAAGAAAAAGAAAGAACATAAGAAAAACCATAATCTAAGCAATAATGTGAGAAGAATTAAATTAGAAATCTTAGTAGATAACAAGCTAAATAATTAAAATTGAAGATCCAATAGGCCATGCATTATTAAAAGGGGTGCAAAAACTATCAAACTCTCTGTATTCATTACTTCACCTCTTGCCTGGCTGCAACTCTCTTCTGAGGTACTCTCTTTCTCTCTTTCTCGTTCTTGACAAGAGATCTTAAACCTAAACCTAATAAAGATAAAAAAGAAACCCAATTCATAAATCAAGGAAAAAAAAACGTAAAAGGTAAGTGCATATGTTCCTTAATTGGCCAGTGAAAATGAAGAAAGCTTATACAAAAAGGTCAATAATTTTAAACCACAATTTTGCTAAAGATGCTTTCACATAAGGATGTTTATTGTCAGCGAGGCTTTTTCACACTTTATCCCAATTTTAATAATTAATTAAATTCTTCCTAATATGCAGTGTATTAGTAAAAAAATGATGATATTTGTTTCAAGTGCCATTCTTCCTTCTATAAGAAAGTAATTTTATAGACAATATTGCTTAAATTTAGGTTATCTTAAACTACAACCAGTTGGAAAAATATGTGCAATTCACATACAAAATTTAATTCCCCAAAATTATTTTTGCAATACTTTAAGTTTAAGTTTATAGGAAAAATAAGGTTTTCTTTTTAATTTAAAGAAGTTGAATGTATATAAGAAAAAAAATATTAATGAAAAATTTAATGAATTTGTAACTTGTTATATAGTAGTAGTAACAATAATAATAATAATATTGTTACTATTATTATTATCATTGTTGTTGTTGTTGTTATTGTTGTTATTGTTATTAGATGTAATTAACATACTTATATATATGAGATTTATCAATATTTTTTAGCTTAGCATACTTTATATAGATACACACACAACACAATTATCTTGTGTATGGCAAGATAATTTAAAGAATAATGATAATAACTTACATAATGGTGTGATCAATTATCAAATTTAAGAATATAAACACCAAGATAAAATAAGGCAAATTAAAGAGTCAAATGGTGATGTTCTAATAAGGAAAACTACTTATTTAGCCCAAATTTGGTTTCGATTGACTCGATTAGGGTTTCTAACCAAAGATGACTGTGGACCCATTAGTTTAGCCGTTAGATAATCCAAAACTATTTGAAAGATAAAAATAATAAATATTTTGTTAAAAATTATTCTTTCCAGCTATTTTATTCATCTTCCAACTTTGAAATTATGCATCATATCCTCTCCATCTTCAAATTTTGTAAGTTCCTATATTTGTATTTGTTTTATATTGTTTTATATTTTAAAAATTAACCATGTTTGGTATTATTTTTCAAAATTATTCTTAATATAATTTTTAGAAAATCTGCTATTGTTATTAAAAATTTTCTTAAAATTCATATTATCATTTTCATTAAATAATAAAGTAATATAATGACCAAAAAACTTAAAAAACATAATATAAAATTTAAAAATATTTAAATTTTTTGTTTCTCTGTTGTTTTATTCTCCAACAAAAGTAAATAAATTATATTTAAAAAGAAAAATAAATAAATTAAAAGGTTATTATCATGAAATATATAAAATGTGTAACGTCACAAATTACATTTGTTCAAAAAATAAAATAAAATTTGGCACATTTAGGTTGGGATTTATGAATTAAATTATAGAAGAAACGAGCAAAAATATAAAAAAATTAAAGAGAATATTGAGTAGGATGAAAATATATAAAAATGCGGTCCTTTTTTTTTTCTGTCTTTTTACCTTGTAATGGCGTGAATTTCTAATTTTATTAATTAATTTTATAATAACAATATATTTTTAATAAAAGTAAAATATTAAATATCAAAATTATAATGATAAAGCGCGAAACCCACCCTTTTTAACGTACAATCCGTTTAAAAAAATTAAAAAATAATGATAAGTAGATGGATTCCCAAAAAAAAAAAAAAAGGATTGCACACTGGACCTTGGAAAGCAACCCTACCCACCCGACCCGAAAAGAATGCCCGTCCGTGTGCTATATTCCTAGCTCCAATCTTGAAGAGTTCGTCGCCCCGAAAGGCTTTGAGGTTCGACTGCTGTCCCCGTGCTTGGTCTATCTTCGTCTCTGCAAAGCGCGAACAGATCTTGTTAAACCTCGAGGTTCTTTGTTATAGGTGATATGCTTAATGATGGATGTTTCCTTCCCGTATGTATAAATAGAACTTTGTTGTAGCTGTGAATTAATCGTCATTTTTTCCTGCGTGTTTTGTCACTTTAAGTCTCTCAGCGGCGGAACAATTGAAATGAAATGCTATGTTAGTGAGGCTCTGATTGGTTGATTGACCAATCGATCGATCGACTTATCAAGTTTGGGGCTGTATACGCATCTAGGGCTTGTTCAAATTAGGGTTTCATGGCTGATCGTAATTCGGCTGTAGCCAAACCCATATGGATGAAGCAAGCTGAGGAGGCAAAGTTGAAGAGCGAGGCTGAAAAGGCTGCCGCAGCGAAGGCGGCATTTGAGGCGACTTTTAAAGACGTTGAGACGAACCGCAAGGAAGATTTGTCAGATAGTGAAGGCGAAGAGGAAACGGAGGATTTAGCCAACAAGCCTATTGGGCCTGTGGACCCTGCTAAGTGCACGGCTGCGGGCACAGGGATAGCAGGTGGCACGGCTTGCGCTCCCTCATCCTTCGTAGTGGTAACGAAAGACGCTGATGGGCGGAAAGTGCCAACCGGGGGTGCGCAAATTAAGGTAAAGGTTTCGCCTGGAGTGGGTGTTGGGGGGTCTGATCAGGATGGGATCGTGAAAGATATGGGCGATGGGACGTATACGGTAACTTATGTAGTTCCAAAGAGAGGGAATTATATGGTGAATGTGGAATGCAATGGGAAGCCCATTATGGGTAGCCCTTTCCCAGTTTTCTTCAGTCAAGGTACCTTTCTTTAACTTCCTTAGCTGTTGAGGCGTGGATAGCGAATGTCCTTAAAGAATAATGACCTACTATGAAATTGTCTTCTTATTTTTTTGAAATAGTAAACACTACTTGTTGTTGACTGCAATATAACACTATGATTTAAGTACTTCTTTGACTTAATTGTGATTACAAACGTATGATGGATGCTGGCTGTTTGTGATATCAGTCAATTTCCCCCCTTTTTTGTAGTTGGGCATTTAGAGTAAATGTTGACTGTTGAATAAATGCATCCATGATTGTAGCAGGTTCTCTGTGAGTCTGCTGGGGATAATGTACCGGGTAAAAGTGATAATTTGATTATGGGATGCTGTTTTTTACCGTCTCTGAGGAGTGATTATTCTGTATATATGGTGGTAGTAACCTTTGGAAAACTTATGAAATTGTTTCTCTTCCTTTTCATGACAAATTTGAATTTTCAGTGAATTAAGTCTGTTTACTTAGGTTCCTAAAATGGCATGATCATGCATGATTAATTCATGGCAAGATATAAACCAAGAAAAACAATTATGTATCCTTTGCCCTTTCTGCAATGCTACTACAATTCTACGAGGTCTGCTTTTCATATTATATTTTGAATTTCTTTGTTCATTTTAGGACCATCTATATCTTTAACTTCATTGATACTGTATTACACATGGAGATCTACCAACTGGTCTTCAATCCCTTCCAGCAATGGATTAAACCAAGTGGTTGGCACAAGCCAAATTTGAGGGACTATTGCTAGTTAGACTCCATAGTGCTAAGATGTCAGCTGACTCATAGTTATTAATAGCGCGCTATAGCACTAGCTATTGCGCCATAGCAAGTGCTACAGCATGTTGAGGCATAGCGCAGCGACCTCGGATGAGCGACCTATAGCGTGTGCTTTACACGCTATAAGCTTTTTTGGCTATGGTGTGCTACATGTGCCACAATGTGAAGGGAAATTTTAAGCAAAAAATAATACCTAAATCCTCTTATGTGACTCGCATCCAGCCATAACCTCTCAATCAAGTCCTCTCTTCTTCTCTGTCTATAAGCTGTGTTGAGCATTGCAACACCTCGTTGAGCCTGAGAATGCCTTTCGTGAGTTGTGGTTGAGCCATTTCCTCTCTTTCGAGATGGCAAGTCCCTGTCAAGCTGAGACCTCTCGCTGTCGAGCATTGCAAGAGCTTTGACTTCTCCTTTGCTCTCTGTAGACCATTGCATACAGCTTCGGAATGTCTTCTCTGAGTTGCAAAAGCCCTCTCCTCTTGCTTTTGCTCTCTCTTGACCATTGCAAACAGCCTTGGAATGTCTTCTCTGAGTTGCAACAGGCCTCCCCTCTCTTCTTTGGTCCCTGTCAAGCATTGAGCCTGGTGTCCTTTAAGCTTCAGCTTCTCCTCCCTCTTCTATCTGTCGTGATTCAGCTTCTCTTGGTGAGTCAGCTCTATTGTTTTAATAAGCACGAGAGAACAGAGGACCCCTATTCAGCTCTATTGTTTTATCACATTGTTCAGCTACACTTAAACTCTATCGTATAAAACTATAGAACAGAGGACACTATTCAGCTATACTTCAGCTCTCTGTTTCGGCATTGCATTAGAATCTAAAATGAGCACTAGTGAGAGTGGTGGTGATCCAGCTTGGAAATAATCTTTTTTATGTGTAAGAGGATGAGTTTTAGATAATCTCTTTTATGTTCCAAACTTTGTTTGATCATATTTCTATGTTTTAGACTTTATTTTGTTTTAGACTATGTTTGTTGTGCCATTTCATTTTTAACATATTTAGATGACTGTTGGATGGGTTGTATTTTGAGTACTTGTTAAGCTTTTAATGTTTATTGAGACTATTGTTCTTATATATTGTTGCTATATGTTGTTATTATATAATGTGCACTATGTTAACGAATAGCCATGTGCAGTGCTATTCGCAATGCGTTATATTGCTATGGACCCTTTGCACTATGGTGCGCTATGCCCCATAAATAACTTTGGGTTGACTTAGTCCTTCTCTTTAACTCATATATCTATAACAAGTGGTTCACTTTAATCAATTCGCCAATACAATCTTTCTTGATGCGTTTAACCTCATTAGAATCCTAGCTCCATGTTGCAGACACTTGGTGTTATTGGCATCAAGACCTAACCTAGTTGCAATATTTGTTGGCAACAGAACTTGACCCAAACTTTGGTTACAAAATTAGATTCAAGAGGCCAGATCCTACCCAAACTTACTTAGATCTAGTACTCAAAGCCCATTGTAATCTTTTAGAGTTACCTTGCAAATATGTCCATCTTAAGTTGTTTGAAATTTGGCATTTATGTCATGAAGTTGCTTTGTTAACGCATGATCTATCTTGAAAATTTGATTGAATTTTTATATATTTGTATGGTAAGCTGGTACTAGGCAAAGGTCTGATCAAATTTCTTTTCCTTTTCTAGTTTCTTGATTAAGGATTATCCAGATAGATCAAAAGCCTTCAGCTTTCTAGATGATTTTTCTTCAAATTTGGGAGTTGCTCTTTCAAATTGCACAAAGCTGTTGAATTCAGGTCAATGGACATAATGAGTCTAATCCTTCCAAGTGTGTTTCAAGGATCTAGACATTTTAAAAATCTGCTAATGGAGGTCTAATTTACAAGGTCATTGTTGATGTTAGATGTTCATGAATGTCATCTCTAAATTTTCTGTTTGTCAATTGAATTTGAACCGAAAACCTCATCCTAGACCTTTTGCTTGGAATGACAATAAATCTTTTATGGTCATTCTTTATGTTTGGATTCTATTAAATGGGTTGTTATTGTCTTATTTGGTGATATGTTATTCTATGTACATATGTATATCGTACTTGGCTGTTTAAACTTGGAAAATCTGAGGAAGCAGGTGATTGTTTTGCTTCTACATCTACTGAGCCTCTTGATAAATCTCCACAAATTCCAGCCACTTCAATTTCTCAGGTGTCTAATATTGGAAAAGTTGAAAATCATTGCTTCGCACCTCTGGACAAGGGCAATTTTTTTTTTTTGGGGGGGGGGGGGGTGGTTAGCGAGGACTAGAGTTAGGTCTAAAACAACTGCATATTGGTGATCATTAGAGCAGATTGTGAGCATGAATCTAGCTTTTGCCGGCTGCAAAGAGCTTTGTTCCTAATGGGAAATGCCGCTTGAGCTTCTTCACGGAAAGTAGAAAGCAATCTTCCTGATGTTCCTGTTTGAAGGGCTGAATTTACTAATGGAGAATCGGAGCAGCTTCAATAAATAGTGTCAAAGAGGTCATAAATGTGGCTCTCTATCCTAAAAGTTGGTGCATATGGGAAAATTGTGTGAATAATGTATTCCTTTATTTATTTGTTCATTTTCTTAGGGATTTGCAGATCTGGGATGCATAAGATCCATTTCAATTGTATATGGAAAATCATTATGTGATTTCTCACCAATGCTGCAAGTTTTGGAAGCAATTTTTTTTGCAGGAATATTACATTCTCAAATATTATGCAAATATGGTAAATATGCTTCCTTCTTGTTGCCTGCATAAAAATTGATTATCTTGTTCATAAATGATATCTCTTATGAACTGTTAAATGCTTATACTCAACATGCTTAATCTACCCTATATTCTTACACATCCTTAATATGCTTCTCGGTTGCTTCTCTGCATCATGTGTATTTCTAATTGATCAGTTTCATTGTTTTGCCATATGTTATAATTCTATGTGATTTCCTTTGACTAGTTCTTGAGTTAACATAGATGGTTTCAATCTTAAATGTCAAATATGTGGTTATGCAGGTACTAATACTGGGGGGCTTCTGGGAGTGGCTCCTGCTTCTTCATTTCCAAATTTGGTAAATCAGACCATGCCCAACATGCCAAATTATTCAGGTTCTGTTTCTGGGGCATTTCCGGGTTTGCTTGGGATGATTCCAGGTGTCACTCCTGGTTCTTCAGGTGGAGTGGTATTGCCTGGAGTTGGAGCCTCTCTTGGAGAAGTTTGCCGGGAGTATCTTAATGGACGATGTGCAAAGACTGATTGTAAATTTAATCACCCACCTCACAATCTGCTGATGACAGCGTTAGCTGCCACAACTTCAATGGGAACTCTGAGTCAAGTGCCTATGGCACCTTCTGCAGCTGCAATTGCTGCAGCTCAGGCAATTGTTGCTGCTCAGGCCCTTCAAGCACATGCTGCTCAGGCACAGGCACAGGCACAGGCGCAGGCACAGGCACAAGCACAGGCACAGGCACAAGCACAAGCACAAGCACAGGCACAGGCTACCAAAGACTCCTCTGGTATCCATTGGCTCTCCTTTGTGGTTTCTGTTCAAATGCTATATTGAATTTTATCACTGTTAATTGTTTTGTTTGCTGCTAACTTAAAATCTTAAAATGGCGGTTTATTAAAATTCTCAGAAGTGCTTAGTGCTTGGTGCTTAGAGCATTAGATCTTGATTCCTAAGTTAAGAAACACTTCTTTTTGCTTAGAATCCTTGTATGTTTTCCCAATTCCTTGTCATTTATTGCAGTCTCTCCTAACAGCCATATTGTTCATATTATCAGGATCAAGTGACAAAGATGGGAAAGCTGATTCTCTTAAAAAGACACTGCAAGTTAGCAATCTCAGTCCTCTCCTCACAGTGGATCAATTAAAGCAACTTTTTAGTTTCTGTGGTACAGTTGTTGAATGTAGTATCACCGATTCAAAGCATTTTGCTTACATAGAATACTCAAAACCAGAAGAAGCAACTGCTGCTTTGGCATTGAACAATATGGATGTTGGTGGTCGCCCATTGAATGTTGAAATGGCCAAATCACTTCCTCCCAAACCTGCTGTCCTCAATTCAACTCTTGCTTCATCATCATTGCCCTTGGTGATGCAGCAAGCAGTGGCCATGCAGCAGATGCAATTTCAGCAGGCTCTTTTGATGCAACAAACATTGACTGCACAACAAGCAGCTAACCGAGCTGCGACCATGAAGTCTGCAACCGAACTTGCAGCAGCTAGAGCTGCAGAGATAAGTAAAAAATTGAAAGCTGATGGAAATGAAAAAGATGATGAGGAAACAACTCAAAAATCTAGGTATGTGACCTTTATTTAAAACAAAGGTTGCTGCTATGCACCTTCGGTATCAATTGCCCTTTAATGGAAGAGCACTCTTACCTTCTGTAATGGGTGAATGTCCAACTGCAGATGTTGGTTGCATAATATTCTTTGGTATATCTAAGGAACAATTTCTCATTATTCCACCAAAATGTCTGAAACTGTTGCAGTTCCAAGGAGACTAGAATGAAACATTAATGGAATGCATGCATGTTTGATTCTATCAAAATGTAGAGATTAATAATAGATTAAGTAAACAGTTTAGACTTTTAGTTTGATTTACATGAGAGAACAAGTGTTGAATCAAAAAAATAAAAGCCGCCAATATAGACTTAAAATGACAAATAATTCCAAAATTAAATTTTGAGAAATGTTGAATCCATGATATTATTACGTGGGGCCATGGGAAGAGGTGAAATAACGATATGACTTCAATAATACTTGTGTTTCTGTAACTTCATTATTGTGCTTTTGATCATTGTAGCTTGGGAATGTTCAAAATTTAGGTGTTTTCTTGGTATAAATGTGTATATATGCTGACTCCTAAGATATTGAGAATGAAAGTAGAAAGGTGGGTTTGGGGAATTAACTATGATGGAAAAGAATAATCCCTTTGAAAAGGGTGGTGATTGGGAGGCTTGGGCTTTCTTTCTATCTGTCAAGAAGTGTTTGATGGCCAGGTTAGAGATTGTTTGAATCAGCATCTTGCAGTTGGAAGTCCTGATTTTGTAGAAGACTAGAAAAGAACTTCCATAACAATGTATGCGTCTACCATTTGAATGTTAAGACCCACTACAGAAATAGTGAAATATAATAACACGTCTTTGCATTGAAGATTATACATAAATTTAGTGTCATGTAATTTGGAACTTCTATGAAATATTTGCACCATTGTTAAGATTTGGTATTTTTGTTGGCATTCTTTTTGTTTATTAATGTAAATTCAGATTGTTTTCCAAGCATCAGATATAAGTTTCTGTTCTATATAGATAGTCTTATGTCAAGTTCATGGATAGTTTGGTTTTTGACTGCTGTCAATGACTTATGTGATCCTTGATATCATGGACCATCTTGAGATTTGCAGGGAGATAAATTGTGTATAAACTAGTTATCATTTATAGTTTTTTAGATTTGCTCAGATATATATTGTGATAAAATCATAAAATTTGCTTGCTGGTTTCTTAAGCAAATCAAGTTTATGCTCTTTATATTGCTCTTTCTGTTTTCTGTATGTGACATAGGCTGAAGCTTATTCAACAATTTCATGAGTTTCTTATTTGTTGATACCATTATTTTCTAATATTGTAGATTTAGCATTGGAAATAAAATAGTTTATACGTGGAACTAGAACCCTTGAGTTACTTGTTAAACCATTTTGGAAAATTGGTTCATTGGTTTGACTTCTTTCTTGTGCTTTTTGGAGAAACTCATCTTAAACTGCCATTCTTGGTGGAAGTATTCTGTATGAGAGATATCTTGTGTGATCTGAGTTGTCATTGTTGAAAGTATAAATTATGCTTTCCACTATAAGAATATTGAGGGAGAAAGATGTGCAATGCGTGTTTCCTTTATCTTGTTTTACTTTTTTTCTCATACATGTATTTTCATTATTTTACTGTTTTCTTCACACATCCCTGGGTCCTTGCAGTATTATACAGAAAACTTAACAAATAATATACAATTTGGTGAAAGAGTTTATTAATTTGAGTGCTATGATCGTAATTTGTTCTTTATAAATGGTCTTTCACTTTAGTGGAAGTTGTACCCCTTAGGAGGGAGGGTTCAATTTCTAACTCACTATTTGTCTTTTCACCCTATGGATTTCTTACTATCTAGTTTCAATATGAAAATCTTGTATGCTTGCCATTCGCCCTACTACAATGGCCTGTGATGAGATTTGTACTGGCTGAGACAAGGACATGTATGTGGCTGGTCCTCAGTTCAGGCTTGATAATTAAAATGTTAGAGCTAATTTAAATCTAGTTTTTGCTTCATCCTGTAGACTTTTTCATAATTATAATTAGTTCAGCTCAAAATTTTCTTGTGTTATGGGACATGAGGGATATCTAGGATTGGTGGAATATTTTGGTAGAGATTATTTGTGGTCATTAGTTTTATTAGTTGTATGTAAACATAGGTCTATGGTAAAGGTTGTGTTGTGGTTCTGGCAGCTTTCACTAGCTTGTGATGAGTGCATTAGAGTTTCTGGTTCATAAATATTCAGTTCTTTTCATTCATCTCTTATCCTTAGTGGAGTTGCTCTGTGGCATTTGCATTTTGTTGGGATTGGTTGTTGTATCTGCTAAGAAATTATAATTGTTTATTTTGTTAAATACCTAATGTAAAAACTTGTATTTCTGTCAATATGATGTTTACAAATGGCTAATCCATTTATTTTGCCATCTTTTAATTTTGTTTCTGATCCTTTTCTTCATTGTTTTCATGCCAATATTTGCAGGTCACCATCCATCACTCATGCAAAGTCCAGGTCTAGGTCAAAGTCAAGGTCCAGATCAAGATCCAGATCCAAGTCAAGGTCTCCAGTGATTTTCAGGAGAAGGCGGAGATCGCGCTCTTTCTCTCCTCGATCCCGTCGTTTAAGAGATTATAGGTCCAGATCACCATTCAGAGCACGCCATTATTCCGGCTATGAATATGAACGCCGCTCCTATAGGGATATGAGGTATGATGGTGACAGAAGCAAAAGGCACGATTCAGGCAGGTCACATGATCACCATTCTTCTATTTCAAGAAGAAACAGGAGCCGGAGTGTGAGTCCTCGAACGAGAAAATCATATCAAGATGATTCTGAGTCACCAAAGCATTATCGAGAAAGTTCAAAGCATAGGACAAGGAAGTCTTCTCGTGCTAGTTCGAGATCACCAGTGCGTCATAGGGGAAGTAGGTCTTCTCCAAGAAGTGATGACGATAGCAAGTCTAGACGTAAAAGGCGTTCAAGATCAAGATCTCCAGAAGTCAGGCATCCTTCTGATGGTAAAAAGGAAGATAAGGAAGAAAAGTCAAAGCATCGATACAGAAGGCGATCCAACTCAGCATCACCTGAAGGAAAGCGTTACAGGGGATCCAGGTCATCTCCAACAGTTTCAGATGAAACCAGGACGAAACGTAGAAGGAAATCAAGATCAAAATCTGTAGAAGATAAACATCACTCCAGGGATAAATTCGAAAGGGGCAAGGATGAGAAGTCAAAGCGTCGTGATAGGAGGAGGTCTAGGTCAGTGTCTGCTGAAGGTAAGCGTCGCAAAGGAAGTAGGGTATCTCCAAGACATTCAGAAGAACAAAAATCAAGAAACAGGAGGCGCTCAAGGTCAAAATCCACAGAAATGCATTCTTCTGATGATGATGGAAGAGATAAAAGTAAACCTGAAGAACTGAAACATAATGATGGAAAACCTGCCAAATCTGATGACTCTTTCCAGCATCCTGATTACAAGTCAAGGGCCTCTGGAAACTTGGAGGATGATGGAGTATCTGTTTCTTCTCCTGTAACATACAAAAAGAGCTTTTCAGAAGTGCGAGATGACAATTTAGCTGTTCAAAGTGATGAGGATAAAAATGGAAATTTTAGAGGGCAAGACAGTGATGATGAGAGGATGGAGACTTGATAAATTAAGACATTTTTGCTGGAAAACTATGAACCTTACGGTGTTTATGCTGTTGGCCAAAATTTTTCTCCTTGACAATTGATGGTGACTGGTTTACGAGGTCTTGGGGTTCAGCTTTCCCTATTTAAGCAAGATTGCCTTTGGAAGCCAGAGATCCCAGTTGCTGCAGGAGGAATCTTTGCAGGACTGCTCTCTGTTTCTTTTCATGCCTAGAATTTTCCTTCTGGGTTATTTGGCTCATCATTGAATAATCTTTCCCCTTTTTCCCTCCTTTTTTTCTTTTTTTTTTTTTTTTTTTTTTTTTGGTTGGTGGCCCTTTTTGCAGGTTTATGTGGGAACAGATTGATTATAATATCTGTGCTGGTCTGATTTGGTAAAAGGATTTCCAGATGTCAGCTGCTTTCAAGTTTATGATCAACTGTACGGTGTTTTAATCGAACTTCTTTAGCCTCTTGATGTATGTTGAACTAAAATCTCCCATTTCTGGATTGAAGTGACATTATCATTGATTATCTTAACTCCTGTTATGCTAGTAGTTAATATGTGTGTGCGCACGCGCTTGTTTCATGAGATGCATTTTTGAAGTAGAAATCCCCTTGAGATGTATAGGATAGAAAGTTTCACCATAAGAAGTTTCAGGACTGTCTATAGAGACTATATACTACACAAGCTGCTACTTTGTTATTTAGTTACTATTATGGCTGGGCTAGTGAAGTCGTCCTTTAGGTTTGTGATTTTCTAGAAGTTTTGTCCTATGTGTTGAAACTGTTTGATTTGCCAAATTTTTCCATATTTCCTTCTACTGACAATTTAGATGGAGAAAGATTCAATTCATGTTAGGCCTTGCTTCTGAAATAGGTAGTTATAGGCATCCTTTCTTTGCCCTTATTGGTTTTGTGGGTGTGTTACATTCCAAAAAATGCAGGTTTTACGCGGTGCTTTATCAGTTCAGTTTGGAAAGATTGTTTGTATCTGATTGACTGGTAAGGTATGCCATTGCAGGTTTTGGTAATTCTATGACAGGGACTACGGCTTGATGTTTTCTGTTTTGACATTTCTTAAAATTTTTTAAGTTTTGAAGAGTACTCATTGTAGGAGATAAAAAAAGAAAAAAAAAATGTCAGTAAGAAGCTTAAGTAGCTTGCTATGTCTATTTTTGTTTGTGCCTCACTCCTTACCATTTTCCTCTTCCTTCTTTTTCTGGTTTTTCCTTTATTTTGTTTTTTGGCTTCTCTTTCTCCCTTTTCTTCTTGATTTTCCTTCTCCATAAACTATTTGGTTAGGTAAGCTATCTTAAGGCTGACTGCAACCAGATGATGTGTTCCTGAGATGAATAGCATCCTTATTACTCCGTAAGGAGTATGAGCAGATT